CCACGCACAAATTTGTAAGTAGAAACAATGTCCTAAAGGCGCTGACAGCAGCGTTTGGGGATGAACCAAAAAATCTATTTGGACATGTAATCGATCAACTTCGATTAACGCTAACCAGTGCAGAAAAATTGAAAGCTGAAAAAATGCAGTCTTAAGGACTGGAACGGTTAGTTAGTTAGTTAGTTAGTTAGTTAGTTAGTTAGTTAGTTAGTAGTTAGTTAGTTAGTTAGTTAGTTAGTTAGTTAGTAGTTAGTTAGTTAGTTAGTTAGTTAGTTAGTTAGTTAGTTAGTTAGTTAGTTAGTAGTTAGTTAGTTAGTTAGTTAGTAGTTAGTTAGTTAGTTAGTTAGTTAGTTAGTTAGTAGTTAGAGTTAGTTAGTTAGTTAGTTAGTTAGTTAGTTAGTAGTTAGTTAGTTAGTTAGTTAGTTAGTTAGTAGTTAGTTAGTTAGTTAGTTAGTAGTTAGTAGTTAGTTAGTTAGTTAGTTAGTTAGTTAGTTAAGTTAGTTAGTTAGTTAGTTAGTTAGTTAGTTAGTTAGTTAGTTAGTTAGTTAGTAGTTAGTTAGTTAGTTAGTAGTTAGTTAGTTAGTTAGTTAGTAGTTAGTTAGTTAGTTAGTAGTTAGTTAGTTAGTTAGTTAGTTAGTTAGTTAGTTAGTTAGTTAGTTAGTTAGTTAGTTAGTTAGTTAGTTAGTTAGTTAGTTAGTTAGTTAGTTAGTTAGTTAGTTAGTTAGTTAGTTAGTTAGTTAGTTAGTTAGTTAGTTAGTTAGTTAGTAGTTAGTTAGTTAGTTAGTTAGTTAGTTAGTTAGTAGTTAGTTAGTTAGTTAGTTAGTAGTTAGTTAGTTAGTTAGTTAGTTAGTTAGTTAGTTAGTTAGTTAGTTAGTTAGTTAGTTAGTTAGTTAGTTAGTTAGTTAGTTAGTTAGTTAGTAGTTAGTTAGTTAGTTAGTTAGTTAGTTAGTTAGTTAGTTAGTTAGTTAGTTAGTTAGTTAGTTAGTAGTTAGTTAGTTAGTTAGTTAGTTAGTTAGTTAGTTAGTTAGTTAGTTAGTTAGTTAGTTAGTTAGTTAGTTAGTTAGTTAGTTAGTTAGTTAGTTAGTTAGTTAGTTAGTTAGTAGTTAGTTAGTTAGTTAGTTAGTTAGTTAGTTAGTTAGTTAGTTAGTTAGTTAGTTAGTTAGTTAGTTAGTAGTTAGTTAGTTAGTTAGTTAGTTAGTTAGTTAGTTAGTTAGTTAGTTAGTTAGTTAGTTAGTTAGTTAGTTAGTTAGTTAGTTAGTTAGTTAGTTAGTTAGTTAGTTAGTTAGTTAGTTAGTTAGTTAGTAGTTAGTTAGTTAGTTAGTTAGTTAGTTAGTTAGTTAGTTAGTTAGTAGTTAGTTAGTTAGTTAGTTAGTTAGTTAGTTAGTTAGTTAGTTAGTTAGTTAGTTAGTTAGTTAGTTAGTTAGTTAGTTAGTTAGTTAGTTAGTTAGTTAGTAGTTAGTTAGTTAGTTAGTTAGTTAGTTAGTTAGTTAGTTAGTTAGTTAGTTAGTTAGTTAGTTAGTTAGTTAGTTAGTTAGTTAGTTAGTTAGTTAGTTAGTTAGTTAGTTAGTTAGTTAGTTAGTTAGTTAGTTAGTTAGTTAGTTAGTTAGTTAGTTAGTTAGTAGTTAGTTAGTTAGTAGTTAGTTAGTTAGTTAGTTAGTTAGTTAGTTAGTTAGTTAGTTAGTTAGTTAGTTAGTTAGTTAGTTAGTTAGTTAGTTAGTTAGTTAGTTAGTTAGTTAGTTAGTTAGTTAGTTAGTTAGTTAGTTAGTTAGTTAGTTAGTTAGTTAGTTAGTTAGTTAGTTAGTTAGTTAGTTAGTTAGTTAGTAGTTAGTTAGTTAGTTAGTTAGTTAGTTAGTTAGTTAGTTAGTAGTTAGTTAGTAGTTAGTTAGTTAGTTAGTAGTTAGTTAGTTAGTTAGTAGTTAGTTAGTTAGTTAGTTAGTTAGTTAGTTAGTTAGTTAGTTAGTTAGTTAGTTAGTTAGTTAGTTAGTAGTTAGTTAGTTAGTAGTTAGTTAGTTAGTTAGTTAGTTAGTTAGTTAGTTAGTTAGTTAGTTAGTTAGTTAGTTAGTTAGTTAGTTAGTTAGTTAGTTAGTAGTTAGTTAGTAGTAGTTAGTTAGTTAGTTAGTTAGTTAGTTAGTTAGTTAGTTAGTTAGTTAGTTAGTTAGTTAGTTAGTTAGTTAGTTAGTTAGTTAGTTAGTTAGTTAGTTAGTTAGTTAGTTAGTAGTTAGTTAGTTAGTTAGTAGTTAGTTAGTTAGTTAGTTAGTTAGTTAGTTAGTTAGTTAGTTAGTTAGTTAGTTAGTTAGTTAGTTAGTTAGTTAGTTAGTTAGTAGTTAGTTAGTTAGTTAGTTAGTTAGTTAGTTAGTTAGTTAGTTAGTTAGTTAGTTAGTTAGTTAGTTAGTTAGTTAGTTAGTTAGTAGTTAGTTAGTTAGTTAGTTAGTAGTTAGTTAGTTAGTTAGTTAGTTAGTTAGTTAGTTAGTTAGTTAGTTAGTAGTTAGTTAGTTAGTTAGTTAGTAGTTAGTTAGTTAGTTAGTTAGTTAGTTAGTTAGTTAGTAGTTAGTTAGTTAGTTAGTTAGTTAGTTAGTTAGTAGTAGTTAGTTAGTTAGTTAGTAGTTAGTTAGTTAGTTAGTTAGTTAGTTAGTTAGTAGTTAGTTAGTTAGTTAGTTAGTTAGTTAGTTAGTTAGTTAGTTAGTTAGTTAGTTAGTTAGTTAGTTAGTTAGTTAGTTAGTTAGTTAGTTAGTTAGTTAGTTAGTAGTTAGTTAGTAGTTAGTTAGTTAGTTAGTTAGTTAGTTAGTTAGTTAGTTAGTTAGTAGTTAGTTAGTTAGTTAGTAGTTAGTTAGTTAGTTAGTTAGTTAGTTAGTTAGTTAGTTAGTTAGTTAGTTAGTTAGTTAGTTAGTTAGTTAGTTAGTTAGTTAGTTAGTTAGTTAGTTAGTTAGTTAGTTAGTAGTTAGTTAGTTAGTTAGTTAGTTAGTTAGTTAGTTAGTTAGTTAGTTAGTTAGTTAGTTAGTTAGTTAGTAGTTAGTTAGTTAGTTAGTTAGTTAGTTAGTTAGTTAGTTAGTTAGTTAGTTAGTTAGTTAGTTAGTTAGTTAGTTAGTTAGTTAGTTAGTTAGTTAGTTAGTTAGTTAGTTAGTTAGTTAGTAGTTAGTTAGTTAGTTAGTTAGTTAGTTAGTTAGTTAGTTAGTTAGTTAGTTAGTTAGTTAGTTAGTTAGTTAGTAGTTAGTTAGTTAGTTAGTTAGTTAGTTAGTTAGTAGTTAGTTAGTTAGTTAGTTAGTTAGTTAGTTAGTAGTTAGTTAGTAGTTAGTTAGTTAGTTAGTTAGTTAGTTAGTTAGTTAGTTAGTTAGTTAGTTAGTTAGTTAGTTAGTTAGTTAGTTAGTTAGTTAGTTAGTTAGTTAGTTAGTTAGTTAGTTAGTAGTAGTTAGTTAGTTAGTTAGTTAGTTAGTTAGTTAGTTAGTTAGTTAGTTAGTTAGTTAGTTAGTTAGTTAGTTAGTTAGTTAGTTAGTTAGTTAGTAGTTAGTTAGTTAGTTAGTTAGTTAGTTAGTTAGTTAGTTAGTTAGTTAGTTAGTTAGTCAGTCTATCCCAATTTTAGTACCACACAATCTAAAGTTCTAACCTTGCCTGGAAATTTATAGCACCACTTCCTTGCTCAGTACATATTAGGGTGATCGATTATTCGACATTTTCCAAAAACCGGTTTTCGAATAGTTCGAATAGTTGACATTCCGGTTGATATTTTTCAAATACAGAAAAAACCGGTTAACCGGTTTTTCATTATAAATAAAAAAATATATTTTAATTTAAAAAACTTAATGTTTATGTTTAAATTTGATTAATAAAACATGGCCCGAAATGATTTTTAACAGTTTAAAAGATTATAACTTTAGATCTAGTCGTCTGATTTACATTATTTCTTTAATATAAAAAAAAATTAGGAAAAACGTGGGACACTTCTGTTAAACATAAGGTACTATGTAATCCTAGCTTATTTTAAAAGCATTGTTTAGAAAATTTGCATAGGCATTCCAACACTTCCATAAAATTTCAGCCGTAAATTAATTATTGTAATTGGAATATAATCTTAAGATTGATAAAATTTTATCAAACAGTTATCAATTTTACAAATAATTTTTTTTAATTAATTAGGAAAATCAAAGAAGTTTAACCAAAGGAGCTGTAGAAAAATATACGCTAGTTCCTCGACTCGAATATTTTTAAAATTTAGACGGGCTGTATTATTATTTACTTAAAAATTTCATTTAAATAATCTTTGAATACAAAGCAAATAAAAGTATTCGAAACCGGTTTTTAATAAGTGAAAAAACCGGGTTATTCGATATTCAAAAAATCAACATTAAGAAAAAACCGACACTGGTAAAGCAGAAAAAACCGGTTTTAAAACCGGTTGAAAAATCGAGTCGATCACCCTAGTACATATCCTGATACTCCACACAGCTTCATGGCAAATAGCCCCATAAGCTTTATCATTTCTAAATTCTACTAATTGACAAGAATGATCCGTATCGACATACATAAATTAGCACAACATGCTACAGTTGGATTTGATTCAGTCTTACTTTTACCGGTTTGGAGATCGCTAATGTACTGATCCTCCCATACGGATCCCTGCGATCGAGGATAGCCAGGCTCATGGATTTCTTCTCTATCTTGTTTCTTGTGGAGGGATGATCATCCTCAAGTATGTCTCTCTTTATGAGGACCCATAGAAGCTCCAGCTGCAGAAATACCGGGCGTCATTAAAAACTTTGGTCTGGGAGGTTACTTCGTATTTCAAATCGAAAGCAAATGCTTTATACACACTAGAATTTTTCTTTCGAATCGCGTTATTATTGCTGCTGGAGCCTTTTTCCCAACTGAGAAGCCGCATTGAAGTTTAGAGAGACAACAGACATCCAACACAACTTACCAATAATATTATAATATTGTCCAAAGAAAAGAATGTCCATAAAAATTTACAATTTAAATATGTTTTTTAATTAATTTCTTTTCAAAAAATGTTTCTTTTGTTTAACAATAATTCTTTTCCAAAGATTTACAATTTTTCGTTTTTTTTTAACAAATTAAGGCAGAAAATTATTTGTGCGAAATAAAATATTTGTATAAACTAACAAAACTAACAATAATCGTAATATAATCCAACCAACTTACAACAGTCTTATTATAAAGGTATTTATCATGTACAAAGACCAATACTTTTGAAGAGAAGTGTTAGTGGGAACGCATATAACGCAATGTCATTTACCCGCCGCCAATGTTGCCAACAGTGAATCATCAACGACATGAGAGCTATTGGAATTTGTAGATTTTGCGGCAGCATTCAGAAAACCTAATGATGAAGAAGAGGCCGATGTTGAGGAGGATGTTGATGATGACGATGTTGAAGATTTTGACTTAGTTAATGAGGAAGCAGTAGAAGACGAGGAGGAGGAGGAAGTTGAACTGGTAGTTTTGATTAAGTGCAGGGAAGAGGACGACTGATCATGTGAAGAGTGTGTAGTTAATTTTTGATCTTTAATTTTATTTAACGAGGCAGGATGATTTTGTGCAGATGAATAGGAAGTGGCTGTCGAAGCGCTTGACATTGCTGTTGATGTAGATGTTGAAGACGGGGAACTGTTGATGTTTGAAGTACTAGAGTTGGCATTGGGATTATTGTTACGTTGTGATAGTTTGGGTATTTGAAATTTTGAATTGAGACCCTTCATAAAACCCTCCATGCTGGCAGCCATTATGGGTGAAGCATACTGCAAGATTTTCATCATATCGGCATGATGATCTAAACGCGTAGCTGGCTGTGATGTTGAAGAGGAATTATGTGATGAAGGTAGTGCAGGTGATGTTGATGCACTGTGGGACTTTTTCGATGATCTGCGCATATCGGAAAATGAATTTGTACTATGACTTTTTGAAAGACCATAACCCGTAGATGATGTATTCATAGAACTATTACTAGAACCTAATTTTGTACTTAAGCTACCAGATGAATTCGATTTTTGAAATATATGCTTAGAGGAGGAGGACGATGATGATGCTGAGGAGGAGGAGGGTTTTGAAGACATCGATGATGAGGTGGAGGAAGAGGATGTTGATTTCTTGGAAGCCGGTCCACTATTTACACCCGGTTTAAGGCCTGTATGTAGCTTTTTATTATATAATGACGTTGATCCAGACGCTGAGGAGGAGGAGGAGTTCCCTGATCCTTGTGTAGCCGCATGCGATGACTTTGTTGAGGATGACGATGACGTTTTCGATGATGACTTATGGGATGTCTTGTTTATGGTTAATTTTAAACCTTCTTGTGATGACTTAACCATATACTCACTACTACTACTGCTGCTGCCACCACTAGTATTAAGAGTATCATTTGCCGCCAACGACGTTGACGAAGCTGACAATTTCATTAACTCATTGCTGCCAAGTGGCTGTTGCATTATTGTTGCTGTTGTTGGCTGCTGTTTGTGTCTGTCCTGTGACTCCTGCAACTGACGTTGCGGTGATCGTGTTGAGACTGTTGATACTGTTGCTGTAGTTGGTGTCGACGTCATCAAACTAACCTGACAAATTTGATAGACATGATTTTCATCATCAAGATCAGGGTGTTTATAGTAATATTTGTTTGTTTGTTTGTTTGTATGAATGTGTGTGTGTGTGTTTTTTTATATTAAAAAAAAGAGAAAAGAAAAAAAAACATTTTGCATTGATGACAAAGACATTTGGTTGTTGTTACAAAAACTTAAACCTCATTTAGAAAATTATAACGGTTAACATGCACCGTTTATGTTAAAAATTTCAAACAAAAAAAAAATATTCCCAAAAAATTTTAAATATTTCTTTAAATTTGGAAATTGTTGTTTCTTTTAAATAAAATTTAAACAAAATAAACTTTTTAAAAGGTTAGTAAAGTGTTTGAACAATCAACAAAGTAGCTAAAATAAATAATAAAAAATTCACTTAATATCTATAACCTTTAACCTTTTATTAACGAAAAATTACAAATGAAAATTAAAGCAAAACATTTGGTTTATTTTTTTTTTTTTTTTTTCGTTATTTCTATTTACAGTTTATTTTATATTTCTCAATTATACATCATACATTTTAATTAATTTTGAGGTTATGTTTTAAAATCGATTTTATTAAACTACATTGACTTTTGTTCATAAATAATAATTATTAAATAAAAATATAAAGTCAAATCTATAATATTTTGTTATATTAATAGTATAATACACATTTGAAATATATGTATGTATATGTTACTAATTTTACCACATTTTTGAGGTTATGTTTGCCAAAGTTAAAATAATGAATGTTTAATTGAATTAGTTATTAGTAGCTAAAGTTAATACACTACTTTAATGACTATTTTAAATAAGTGTTAAAAACTACATCTAAATACAAATTTTGCATAAATAACTAAAATAAAATAAGAAGATATAAGTTTATTTCAGTCGAAACTAAAACGCTCTAAGTTCTACGTTATCTAATTAAAAAATATTGCGTTGCGAAACCTCACTTTGACATACGCTTTCATTTCCGAGTTTCTGCAGTACCCGAATCCCACGCAAGAAATGGTGTAACAAATGTTTACACTGACACCTTCAAGAGGAGTAAAAGGGTGGCTTTTACATGGAAAGATTTTGAATCAAATCCTCTTTTATTCTACCTAATTATTGTAGTAATTTACAGGCAAAGTTATCTGCTATCAAACGAGTCGCCAACTGGCTGAGGTATTATCAAATATCGGGAATGGTGCAACGAGAGGAGAAGATGAAATCGTCGCATTTACTGGTATCTCCCTTACAAACCGTAAGTCACTGGTTCAGACTGAACATATGAAATGGCTCAATTTAGTGAAACCACCTGTCTCACTTCGAGCTCAATTTGGCCTCTATACGATGCTCCCGGGACAGGCTTATTATTAAACTTTCGCAGAGAACAGATAAGAATGCTGGTATCAGTCAGAACGGGACACTATACAATTTGCAATCACGCCAGAAGAATGGGTCTAGAATATAACGACTACTGTAGGAGTTATAATAATGAGTAGGAAGAGGATGCAATACCTCACCTCCTCTGCTATTGCCTATCATTCAATGAAATCAGAGAACATTGTGTTTGTTTGGATAAGCTATCTGGGAAGTGGACTCCTACGACCACTAGGGTATCACAGTGGTTACCCTTCTTACCTAAACCTAAACTAAAAAAAAACTGCCAAAATTTGCTGATCTTCCGTGATGAATCGTATAAGATTTATACTGACGTCCCCAAAAGAAAGGATGGTGTAGGGGAAGTCTTTTATGTACAGAACAAAAGTTTTCTTTAAAACTTCCAGTTCTGCACGCTAAACTATCAGTCATTAAAAGGGCTTACGTTCTACCGATGTACAACGTTGATATTCTAATATATACAGACATACACTAATGGATCCTAGGGTCGGTTGTGACAATTTATGTCTATAGTCAGTCCTCTTAGAACATTGATATATCATACGGTATATTCCAATTGGGACATTATGAGACTGTGTTGGTCCATTGTTACTGCAATGAGCATGGTAATAAAACTGCAGATGAACAAGCTAGACTAGGTTTGAACCTTGACATAGATGATATGGATACATTAAGAGACTAGACTATAGACTAGACTATAGACTAGACTATAGACTAGACTATAGACTAGACTATAGACTAGACTATAGACTAGACTATAGACTAGACTATAGACTAGACTATAGACTAGACTATAGACTAGACTATAGACTAGACTATAGACTAGACTATAGACTAGACTATAGACTAGACTATAGACTAGATTTCAGACAAGAATATAGAATAGACTATAGACTAGACTATAGACTAGACTATAGACTAGACTATAAACTAGACTATAGACTAGACTATAGACTAGACTAGACTAGACTATAGACTAGACTATAGACTAGACTATAGACTAGACTATAGACTAGACTATAGACTAGACTATAGACTAGACTATAGACTAGACTATAGACTAAACTATAGACTAAACTATAGACTAGACTATAGACTAGACTATAGACTAGACTATAGACTAGACTATAGACTAGACTATAGACTAGACTATAGACTAGACTATAGACTAGACTATAGACTAGACTATAGACTAGACTATAGACTAGACTATAGACTAGACTATAGACTAGACTATAGACTAGACTATAGACTAGACTATAGACTAGACTATAGACTAGACTATAGACTAGACTATAGACTAGACTATAGATTAGACTATAGACTAGACTATAGACTAGACTATAGACTAGACTATAGACTAGACTATAGACTAGACTATAGACTAGACTATAGACTAGACTATAGACTAGACTATAGACTAGACTATAGACTAGACTATAGACTAGACTATAGACTAGACTATAGACTAGACTATAGACTAGACTATAGACTAGACTATAGACTAGACTATAGACTAGACTATAGACTAGACTATAGACTAGACTATAGACTAGACTATAGACTAGACTATAGACTAGACTATAGACTAGACTATAGACTAGACTATAGACTAGACTATAGACTAGACTATAGACTAGACTATAGACTAGACTATAGACTAGACTATAGACTAGACTATAGACTAGACTATAGACTAGACTATAGACTAGACTATAGACTAGACTATAGACTAGACTATAGACTAGACTATAGACTAGACTATAGACTAGACTATAGACTAGACTATAGACTAGACTATAGACTAGACTATAGACTAGACTATAGACTAGACTATAGACTAGACTATAGACTAGACTATAGACTAGACTATAGACTAGACTATAGACTAGACTATAGACTAGACTATAGACTAGACTATAGACTAGACTATAGACTAGACTATAGACTAGACTATAGACTAGACTATAGACTAGACTATAGACTAGACTATAGACTAGACTATAGACTAGACTATAGACTAGACTATAGACTAGACTATAGACTAGACTATAGACTATAGACTAGACTATAGACTAGACTATAGACTAGACTATAGACTAGACTATAGACTAGACTATAGACTAGACTATAGACTAGACTATAGACTAGACTATAGACTAGACTATAGACTAGACTATAGACTAGACTATAGACTAGACTATAGACTAGACTATAGACTAGACTATAGACTAGACTATAGACTAGACTATAGACTAGACTATAGACTAGACTATAGACTAGACTATAGACTAGACTATAGACTAGACTATAGACTAGACTATAGACTAGACTATAGACTAGACTATAGACTAGACTATAGACTAGACTATAGACTAGACTATAGACTAGACTATAGACTAGACTATAGACTAGACTATAGACTAGACTATAGACTAGACTATAGACTAGACTATAGACTAGACTATAGACTAGACTATAGACTAGACTATAGACTAGACTATAGACTAGACTATAGACTAGACTATAGACTAGACTATAGACTAGACTATAGACTAGACTATAGACTAGACTATAGACTAGACTATAGACTAGACTATAGACTAGACTATAGATTAGACTATAGACTAGACTATAGACTAGAATATAGAATCTATTGACTAGACTATAGACTAGACTATAGACTAGAATATAGAATCTATTGACTAGACTATAGACTAGACTATAGACTAGACTATAGACTAGACTATAGACTAGACTACAGAATAGAATATAGACTAGACTATTGACTAGACTACACTATAGACTAGACTGTAGACTGGCCTAATCTGCAGACTGGTCTATTAACTATTATGGATACAACGTATAAAAAGTTTATAAGTTAGAAAAAAGTATCAAAAATGTCTAGACAAAGTACTAAAATACTGAATTTTCCATGCCTGGTCTTTGAGTTAACATGTGTTGGTTTGTGTTTTTAACATTTTGTTTGCTCCCCAGACATTCAGCTACAAGTACTTGTATTTAACAAAGAAATAAACTAAAATAATTTAAGCATAGGAATGTTTTAGTAAGTGTAATTGGTTACATTTTATTTTTATTGTATTGTTTTGTATTCATGGTAAAATATCATGCATTAGGTTCTTAAATGGAAAAAAATAATAAATAATTTTAAACAAAAACTTGCACATTAACTAAGAAAATTAAATAAACATATTGATTATGGTTAAACAAACTACTTAAAAAGCGTTTACACTTAAAACCAACTAAGTTTTAAATTAAAAATTATATGTTGATTGTTTTTAAAATGTTACGGAGATAAAACAAACTAAAAAACAAATGCAAGCCAAACCAACATAGAAGAGAACAAAATATGATAAACTAATTAAACTGTAACATGACTTACCGCAGCGGCTACACCTTTACGCATGGCTGAGTTAAGATCCAAGGAGGGGTTCGGGTTATTAGCAGCGCCATAACCAGCCGCCGCAGCAGCCGTCATATGATTAAGACCGGCAACGGAAGACTTCAACTGTTGCATAGAGGTAACACCCATACTTGACTTAACAGCGGCTGCAGCAGCTGCTGCTGCTGAACTAACGGCAGCCGAATTGAGAGCAGAGGTTTTGTCTTTATTTTTAAGAGCCGCCATAGCAGCAGCTGCGGCAGCCGCTACGGTACTAGCTGTTGATGAGGAAGTCGAACCGGACTGCTGTAGAGAACGTACTAAAGCAGCAGTGTTAAGTACTGACGACGTGGAAGAGGTATTAGAAGATGAAGAAGATTTATCTCCTTTGGGGCTGGCAGTAGTTGCACTTTTTAAGGTGGACATGCTGGGCTTGCCAGAAGAGCCATGTTTGGGTGAGTGGGTGCCAAAGGGTGATTTTGGGCTGTTGGAGGCGGTATTATGTTTGGGACTACTGTATACAGGAGAATGTTTAGGACTAGGACGAGCCGACAAAGACGAACCTGTTACAGAAGAAGCCAAAAGACCACCAGAAGAACCTTTGGGTGATGAAGAGGGTGAAGAGAATTTACGCGCCACTGCTGTAGCAGCCGCTTCACTTGAGCCAGCAGGTGAATTTTGTCTTGAGAAAACTTTTTCTGGCGGCCCCATGGGAGAGTCATCTCTACGTTTTTTACGTTTTTTATCTTTTTGATTATCAGCTGTATCTAAGGAGCGTTTATTCGAAGACAAACCTGTTGAAGATGCTGCCGGCACTAAACTAGTAGATGATTTTTTCTCCTTATTAGCTAGAGGCGAAGGTGAAGAGCCCGCATTAATGGGTGTTATGGTTATAGTAGTGGGTGTAACATTTGTATTGTTTCCGCTACTACTGACACCAGTATTATTAGTATTTGGTCCTGTTAGGGGTATAATTTCTATGCCACCCGTACGTTTTACATCTAAAGGTGAGGAGGTGGTATTGGGATTGTTATTGGTGTTAGGGAGACTATTAGTAGCATTGGTAGCCTCATTAATGGGTGTAATGCTAACCGAATTTTTAAGATTTGGCGTTTTATCTTTCCAAATGTTTTTATATTTATCAGCGATTTCATGATCAGCAGCAATCTTTTGTTCAAATGTTTGTTGAGGTTGTTGTTGTTGTTGGTGTTGTGTATGAAGTTGTTGTTGTTGTTGATGTTGTTGTTGCGTTAGTGTTTGGCCCAAAGAGTTAACTTCTAAAGTAGATTGCATTAAGTTTGAAGCAACATGTTCTGTAGCTACTGCAGCTAAATTTTGACTCTTTGGGCTCTCATGAAAATCCTCCTGTTTCAATTCACCACCACTTTTGTACTTTAAAAAACCACCCGCAGCAGCCTGTAACTGTGCTGATCTTTGCTGACCTGTAGTATCCATTTTCATGCTACCACTCGACATCTTCATACCGCCACCTCCTGGGTCGTTAGATCCACCAGATATATTAAAATTTCCATAAGCGGCATGTGAAGTACTGGGCATATTACCCGACATATTACCTCCACCTAGATTACTATTCGCTGTACCACCTCCAACAGCTCCAGCACCGCCTATGCCACCCGCATTTGTTGATCCCCCACCAATGCTTCTTTGAAACATTTTCATACGTTCCTGGTCCCAAAATCTTAAAAGAGCTCTTATTGTCACCGGTATGGAAAGACATTTTTGTACGATGCTTGTTAATTTTATCGAGAGTAAATCATAATTATTGCTAATGCTATAGATGGTACATTGTGGTTGACCCGTACGTAAATCAAATTCAACTGTGGCCATTGATTCTTCGTATGGATGCTGAAGAGCCACTGAGATCTGTTGAAATGAAATGGCATTAACTTCAAGAATAGTGGTTGAATCTATATCTGTTGAAGAGAGGAAAGGGAGTGAAAATAGTGAATTTTAATTGCTGATAAACTACTAAATTAGTATTGTTTTTAATAAAAACTATCGGGTTTTTCTAATGAATCTCATTCAAAACTTAACATTCACATTAAGCTAACAGCGGCTGGGAATCGAATCAAAGCCGCATTTGCCTAGTGACAAAACACTTAAGCTACATCAGCCTCAATCAGCAATCTTTATAAATGATTAATGTCTGACGTATGATCCTTATACGTTTTTTTCAAAATTACATTTCTTCCGAGAAACTGTACATCTAGGTTGAACTACTGTTCAAATTGTAACCAATACAAGTAAAATTTTCTATAGAAGAACACTTACCATTTCCCATTTTGGATTGTGGCCGTACACAACTTGCCAATAGAGCATAAAATAAAGCCATCTTTTTAAGAAAATCCAAAATTTTTGGCACTTGTGAAGGTTCCGTAAATGGTAGAGAATGAATTAAAGTAGACTACAATAGAAAAATGCAATTTTAAGTTAAATAAATTGTTAAAAAATCTTTAAAACTCACTTTCAATAATTTATTTTCGGTGAAAAAATAGCAGTGCGTTTGATCGGGCAAACAAACAAATAAACCTTTCTGTGATGATTTCATTTTTTGGTCCGAAGCTGTTTGTATGATCAGACTCATGATATTGGCCACCAGCGGTGTTTTATGTTGAGCCTCCAGAGAGGATGAAGGTAAAGGATTTGTTTCATTAAGACCGCCTGCACACAGGCCCATAGATCGTAAGGTGTTAAAGCATACCGGCAGAGGCCTGTTTAGGCGCAATACAAATGTGGCGGGCAGAAGCATAGAATTCATTTGATTTAAAGGTGCAAAGACGGGAACATCAATACCTGTTTGCGGATCTTTTGCCACTGTAACAGTGGGTAAAATTTGCAGTTTATTGGCTGAAGAAGCTTCCAAATTAACGGTAACACTAAAACCAATTTGTTTATTCTTGAAGGAGTCTAAACTCAAAGACTGTAAAGATTTGCTTTCCAGTGAAATCAAATCGTAGGGAGAAACAAAATACACTAGGCGCATGGGATGACCACCTCGGCGTTTTAAAACCACTCCAACTATTGAGTCCTGTATGACTTGTAAAGTGTCTTTTGTAAAATTTTGCATTTGGAATATATTATACAAATCGGTTTCCATAGCCTGCATGGCATCATAGGCCTTGATTTTCACTTTGGACTCGGCATTCAATTGATAAATTGAGGAAAAGCCCTCAAGCTGAGCCGTAAAATCAGCAAAATCTCCACGATTAAGGCAATCTACCAACTCACTGCAGGACTGCTGATCGGCCTTTGATTCATGATGAACTTTAACATCAGTCAACGAGCCATTCGAATCCAAAAGTATCTCCAGAAAAAACATGTCAGTCGAAATGAACAAAGCTTTAGTATCGTCCGAAAACTTTAAACTCAATTGACGTGAAAGACTTTCAAGTCTCTCGACTAGACCCTGCCGGGAAGTGACTTTAATACAATGCTGCATATTGTCCAAACATTTTTGTAGGTTAGATTTCTCCACCGCATCTAAGGGATAACGTTTTTCCAGCATGCCCATGCGCATACTTTTAGAAAGTTCTTGAAACGTTTTATGTTGGGAGGAATGGGAACGTATACGTTCCATCAACAATTCCCTCTGCCATTGCTTGTTCTTCTCAGCTGTAATCGATAAGTTGCCCAATAAAGAGGAGGTGGAGGCTCCTGGAATTTTTCACAAAACTATTTTAAAAACATCCTAGATATAATTAAAAGCTTTTAACAAGTAATTACCTTGTGCTGGTGCTATAACTGGTTTTACATTTACAGCAGCCATTATGTTGTGAGGTTTTCAAGTTTTTGTGAAATTAGAAAAAAATTATACTTTACTTAACGCCACAGACACCTTGAGTATGAATTGTGGTGGCGTCAGTAGGTTTTTTTTCACTTTTTTCCTAGTAGTTGTTGTTTTTGTGCAATATTGGATTTATTTATTTATTATTTCCGTTTTTTATTTTCTATCGTGAATTTTTCTTTTAATTTCAACATAATTAGAGGAATTTTTTCCATTAAATTTTAAACATTTTCACAAATTTTGCAAAATAAAGTTAAAAGATTTGCTTGCAACCAAGGCTCTGCGCCGACAAATATTAACGACGGCGGCGGCTGTTACCAAAAATATCGCCGTCAGATTAAAATCGACTCTAAGCCGGCTAAGTTTTGAACTACTTTTATTCACGGTATACTTAAGGGCCCTTCACACGGTCACACTTTACGTATGACAAGTCTAATCAAAAAGTAAAATGAAATTCCATCCGTATGACAAAAAAAGAGAATAAAAGTCGTATGATTTATATTTTTTGTGTTTAGACGATTGGTATAAAACAATAACAAAGTAAGATGGAACAGCTGTTTCACTTTTTTTGTATGTGTTTACATAAAAATACATCCCTGATCTAATGCGACTTGTTTGTTTTTTGAATCATTTCAAAAAATGAAGAGAGCCATACGACTGTCAAATTTTCCATCCGTATTTTCTCTCAATGTGTGATGGTTTCATTACATATTGCGTTTAGACGATCCCATCCGTTCTCTTCTACACAAAATTTTGACAGATCATATTACTTGTGAGCTCGTGTGAAGGGGGCTTTAACAAGCACTTGAGATTGTCAAATTTTTTTTATATGTAGTTTGCGGTTTAAGCCTGTATACAAGTCTACAAGTACTGCTGGGCTAACGATATCACCTTATATGCAGTACACCCTGATTTTAGTTTTTATATGCTCAACAATTTAAATAAAAACGGAATCCTAGAGATTAAAAAGTGGGATTTTGGTAGCAAATATTTTAAAAATCGGTATTCTAGACCAGAGTATGAAATTTTCGTATTCATGAATGCTATTTAATGTATTTCTGTCGTTATACAACTCATTTACACGAAATTTATTTTTAAACTCACAAGAACTATTTTTTCAACTCTTCATTTTTATATTCACCAGAAGGGTATATATAAGTTTGTCATTCCGTTTGTAATTTCCACAATATAATTTTCCGTATCCTTATAGATAGCAGAATCGATTAAGCAATGTCCATCTGTCTGTCTGTTTAAATTTTCTGAAGCCCCAAGATATCTTCGAGATCAAAATCTTCAATAATTCTGTCAGACATGCTTTCGAGAAGTTTCCTATTAAAAATCAACAATAATTGAGATGCATATGTGTAAAAATTGGAGAATACCCCTGAAAATTTCTTTAACAAATTATAAATAAAAACATAAAAAAACACCGAGATAAAGCAGTAATATGTTGGTAATACAGTTTATATATGTTTGAGGGTGGTATTGCAGTGGATAGGTTATTTCTTTCTGCGCTATTTGTTTGTGTGTATGTTATGTGTTACATTTGTGCAAAGGTACAAGTCGAAATGCGGCTTGTACTACAAATAATTTATTTATTATTGTTGTTTTAACGTTGATGCAGACATAAAATGAAAAGTTATAATAAAATACAAAAATTAAATGAATTGAATGAAATTTTATAAAACTAAATTAAATTCTAAAAATAAATGAAAACTGTTTTTTAAAACAGTTAAAGCAGTAGTTGGTAATATTGTTATTAACACTTATGGCGTTTTTACACTACTAATTAATATCAAATCTCATACACATTTGTACAACTGTGGACATTAACTAAACACGTGTTACCATCACTTTATTTCTTTACTACTTTGTACTTTGAAGGAAATAGACGTGTAAAATTAATTCTGCTAAAATAATAAAAAAAAAACTTTAACAATGGTAAGTTTATAAAACAAATATAGAAAAAATGTATTAACATAATTGTATATTCAAATTGATGAAAAAAATCATACCCAAAACTGAATTAAAGTTGAGGAATTATTGTAACATGCATCACCAACTGAATTTTTGAATATAATAAATTATGCATTCCCTTTATGTCTTTAATATGTGGCCAATTTAACTAATTATTTTTCTTTTTCAGTTATCAACTAACCAAACGGAAACACCTTGTAATGTGAGCAACAATATAAATATCGAAAATGGTTAGTTTTTTTCTTAAATAAATCTTTTTAATTTCTTTAATGATGACAACTTTCATACCCAAAACTGAATTTCGTTGAGGAATCTTTTTTTACATGCATCACCAACTGACTTTTTTTCATAAAAAAATGATTATTTACTTATTTTATTAAATACTTAAACTAACCTCACTTTTTCTGTTATATTTTTAGGATAACTTCCGTGATTGAGGCATAACATTCTTGGAAATGAAGGTTTAACTTAAAGAGTTTTCACCAGTATAGCCTAACGCTAGTGTGAAGGTGTATAGCCCGGCTGCGAAAGATGGATGGTATTTTTTTTTTGAATACCTAACCTCAATTATAATCAAATCATAGAATTTTTAAAACTAACCTCAAGATTTGATTCAACAACAGTTTATGAATAAACATATGCAGAGGGGTAAAAAATATTTATTGAAAAATATAAAATTATGTCTTAATTGTGAATAAAAATATATATAAAATTTAACACAGCTTGTTTTTTTATTAACATTACATTTTATAAATTTTGAAACCTTAAATACATAATGGAACTACATAAAAAAAGTGTAATTATGTCCCGATAGCATTATATGTTTATAAAAACTCGATATCATTATAAAATCATGAGTTAATTACGAATGAGTGATTTTCGGAAGTGATTTTATATACAAGACCAACTATGGGCCAATCCGGGAAAAATTTTTGCTGAATAATTCGTATATGTACACAACATGTTAATGAAATTAGTAAATAAAAACAAGTAAGAAATTATAGTCGGGCGTGGCCGACCATATTATACCCTACACCAGTTATGAATACTAAATGTGATTTATTTTTCATAATAAAGCATTTATCTTCAATATTCCCTTGTTCCGATACATTTAAGCAATTTATGGATGAAAAACTAATTTTCTGAAAGAGGCTTTATATGGGGGCTAGGGGCAAATATGGACCAAGCCCGATAAAATTTTTTTAATATACATATTTATATTTACATAATATTTTATTGTGCTGAATTTCATCGCGATATTTGTGTTTATAAGTTAATTTGGGACATTCAAGTAATTTTCTGAAGGGGACTTTGTATGGGAGCTAGGGTCAAATGGGGCCCGATCTTTATGAAATTTGGCAGGGTCATCAAGACTTCTATAAAAATTTGTTGTGCCGTATTTTATCGATATATCTGTATATTTAACATAATTATGAGCTCAGAAGCCCTTTTCGGGGGGTTCTGTTCTATGGGGGCTAGGTGAAATAATGGACCGATTTTAACCATTTTCAATAGGTTTCGTCCTTGGGTCAAATAAAACGTGCGTGCCAAATTTCATCCATTTATCTTGAAAATTGCGACCTGTACCTTGCGCACAAGGTTTACATGGACAGCCAGCCAGCCAGACGGACGGACGGACATAGCTTAATCGACTCAGAAAACGATTCTAAGCCGATTGGTATACTTTAAGGTGGGTCTAGGACGAATATTTTTGTATGTTACAAACATCAGCACAAATCCAATATACCCTCCCCACTAAAGTGGTGTAGGGTATAATTACCACATGAAGTGGTGGGTTCGATTCACACTGGTCTGTTGGGTTCGATTGCCACTGGCACTGGTTAAGGAGCGCACAACCGATAGATGCCTTGGTGTATTTGTTCGTATTTGATCTATGCATATACATACATTAGGCCGACTCACAAAAAATGGTGATTGAGTTATCCCCTTCAAAATATTCTCTGTTATGTAATATGATGGTACCCAACATATTTTGGGTTTAATATTGTCTGTTCGTGAGCTGGACAGTTTTCAAGAAAATATCTTATGGGGGACACGATTTTTATACCCTTCACCTTCGTGAGAAGGGTATATATAAGTTTGTCATTTCGTTTGTAATTTCTATAATATAATTTTCCGACCCCATAAAGTATATATATTCTGGATCCTTATAGGTAGCGGAGTTGATTAAGCTGTCTGTCCGTCTGTGTGTTTGTTGAAATCAGTTTTTAGAGGACCCCAGATATCGGCGAGATCCAAATTTTCAATAATTCTGTTAGATATGCTTTCGAGAAGATCGCTATTTAAAATCAGCAAAATCGGTCCATAAATACCGGAGATATGAGCAAAAATCCGAGACAACCTCTGAAAATTTCATAAAAAAGACAATTTTTTTCATGCTTTGATATACGCAACAACAACAACACGGCTTATTCATTGAGTATTCGTTTCATGTGTTTGGATGCCTGTGTGTTTCATTGCCTTGTGTATATTGTTTTTGTTTCTTGGTGCATTCAATTTCGTATGTTTGGATGTCTGTTGGTTTCATTGCGTTGTTTTGTTTTTGCTTTTTTTTTTGGAGTATTTCGTTTCGTATGTTTCATCGTCTTGTGTAAATTGTTTTTGTTTTTTAGTGTATTCAGTTTCGTATGTTTGGATGTCTGTTGGTTTCATTGTGTTGTCTATTTTGTTTTTGTTTTTTGTGTATTTCGTTTCGTATGTTTGGATGTCTGTTGGGTTTACTGCCTTGTGTATTTTGTTTTTTTGTGTGTTTATTTCGTTTAGCGTTGTTGTTGTTCGTTTTGCTATTGCTATAATAATGATATAAACGGGAAAATGAAATAAATTAATAATTTATAGAATTGATATTTTCAAATACACTGTGGTGAAGGGTATATAAGATTCGGCACAGCCGAATATAGCACTCTTACTTGTTTATGTTCAATTCAATATTTTACCCATTCAAAAAATCGTTGTTTTGTTTTATGATGGTTACCAAAATATTTTGAATCTATCGATGGCCGTTTGTGAGCTGGACCGGTTACAAAAAAGACCCTTTTTAGTTATTTTTTAAATTCTACAGTTTTTTTCTTAAACAAAATATGCAATATGTGGTATCATTTGGTATCTAAAGGTGTACACAATCTAGATCTAGCTTGATTAACATTTTATAATGTACTACTATATTCTTTGGTTTTATTTTGTGAAAAAACGTAAACATTAGCGTTTTTAAAATTATTAAATGTTTGTGATATGTTATCGATTGAGATTTCAGCAAAAGGGGCATTACTAATCTTTGTTTACAAACAGAAAATTGAAATTTTGTTGTAAATTGGCTTTCGTGTACTTTTGAAGATAGAAGATACTAGAAATTAGTCAACAAAGCCTCTTTAATTAATAACTTTATCAATTTTTTCGCACAATTTGAAAAAATGCATAGATTAAACAAACGCATGAGAAATTCCAAAGGTAAATAAAGCTTTCAAATACAATGGCTAATACATAAATTTGTTTATAATTTAATTATTGTACATTTTAGATGAACAGTACACGATTATTGGAGATCAAGCCTACACTGATGATAATATTTTGATAAATAGCATATTCATTTCTAATTTATCGGAAAATGTAAGTCACAATGATTATCTGTAGTTTTAAGTTTTTAGTTGAGCCATAGCTCTAAGCCCCTGGCGAATATGGAACGCTAGCTTGTTTTAACCCACTGTTATCATTAAACACTCTATCAGCCAACTAATAGCTTTATCTCAAAATAAGTGAAAGCACATACATACATATCTTTTCCCATTACAAATCAATTGGCATTTAAATTCTATCACATTTCTTTAGATCACCATGCAACAGGCTTTGGAATATTTCCAGCAATTTGGCAATGCTTATTTGGTGGAAAATAATGAAGGTCAAAACGATATAATAAGCTTTGATGATCCTAAAGTAGCGGCCGTGTAAGTATGAATGTTTATACCCTACACCACTTTAGTGGGGAGGGTATATTGGATTTGTGCTGATGTTTGTAACATACAAAAATATTCGTCCTAGATCCACCTTAAAGTATACCAATCGGCTTAGAATCGTTTTCTGAGTCGATTAAGCTATGTCCGTCTGGCTGGCTGGCTGGCTGTCCATGTAAACCTTGTGCGCAAGGTACAGGTCGCAATTTTCAAGATAATTGGATGAAATTTGACCCAAGGACGAAGCCTATTGAAAATGGTTAAAATCGGTCCATTATTTCACCTAGCCCCCATAGAACAGAACCCCCCGAAAAGGGCTTCTGAGCTCATAATTATGTTAAATATACAGATATATCGATAAAATACGGCACAACTAAGTTTTATAGAAGTCTTGATAACCCTGCCAAATTTCATAAAGATCGGGCCCCATTTGACCCTAGCTCCCATACAAAGTCCCCTTTAGAAAAGTACTTGAATGTCCCAAATTAGCTTATAAACACAAATATCGCGATGAAATTTAGCACAATAAAATATTATGTAAATATAAATATATTCACAAAATTTTATCGGGCTTGGTCCATATTTGCCCCTAGCCCCCTGTGGATACTATGTATAATTAATATACTTTGTAAATTATATACTTTAGATATAATTTTATTTTAAGTTTTCTTTGAGTTTTAAATTTATTAATATTTTTCTTGAGAATCAAATAAATTTTAGAATTATATTTTACTTTCAAAAAAGAAACATTAAATTTAAATAAAACTTTATATAATATTTATAATACATTTATTAAAAAAGAATATTAACTACATATTGGCGATCCTGCCAGGAGCCATTATATGCTAAACGAAAAATTTTTACCAATTCCAATATTCAAGATCTAATATTCAAGATTCAATATTTCAAACTAATAATATGCAAGATTATTAATTATCAAGAACAAAAATACATTCAAGCCACAGAAAACTGTTATTTGGCAAGTTAAACAACATTGGCTAATATTTCATGAATTTTTAATTGCGTACAAACTATCAATAAACTATTCAAGAAAATTAATTTACAAAAAACATGTACTGTTGATAATTATCTATTAAGGGAGGATAAGAGAAGAATTTATCTAAAAATAAACTCAACTGATTGGTATATATAAAAATAAAAAGGTTTATTTGTTCATTTTGTTAAATATTTTGTTGTTTGTTTGTTATTTGTTTTGTTTATATAACTATTATTGTTAACTCTTCTTCCGAAAAATGTTACCAATTCGGTCACCATCCCGCAATACTTCCCAAACTCAAAATAGTAGTAATATACAACAAGTTTCAAACGATGACGCTAACTCTAACACTGCACAACAAAACCAGACTCCTCAAACTGAGAACCCTTTATTAACATGTTGTTTTACACAATCAAATTACGATCTTTGCGCTACGTCAGTCAAACTTCCTCAGTTTTGGACAAATTGTCCCGATGCTTGGTTTATTCATGCAGAAATGCAATTTACGACCAAAGGCATATCTTTAGACAGAACAAAATATGAACACATTATTACAGCACTTCCGCAAGAAGTAATAATAACTGTTCTAGATATAATTCAAAATCCACCACCTAATAATCTTTATCATAATCTAAAAAAGGTATTAGTAGAACGACATTCACTAAGTGAAACTTCCCGGTTAGAGAAAATTTTGTCAGATAGTGAAATGGGTAACAGAAAACCATCCGAGTTTTATCGCTCATTGTCTTTATTAGCTGGAACTAGTTTTAGTCCAGATATTTTGAAGAAATTATGGTTGAGGAAACTTCCAAAGAGTCTTAATGTAGCTTTAACGGGATCTAACCATAACGACATTAATGAAATGATACAATTAGCAGATAAGATATGGGAAGTTATGTTTAATGGCGAAGTTGCCAATATTAAAGAACATAACCCAACAAACATTGAATATGTTGTAGAAAATTTGACGAAAACCTTGTGCGAAAATATGACAAAATTATGCGTTGAAATTAACTCCCTTAAACAGGAGTTCAATGATAGGCAACCACGTTCATCTTATCGAAATAGGTATAGGAGAAATTCTCGTTCAAGAGTACGATCTAGTAGTAGAGATTGGTTATGCAGATATCACTACCGCTTTGGAGATAAAGCTATTCGTTGTGAACAACCCTGTTCTTATAAACAAAATTCTTCAAACTAATATCTCCCATTGTTGAGGCGACAAACAATGGTGATTTAAACTTTACGACCCGTCGCCTTTTTATTTTTGACAAGATAAATAAATTAAATTTCCTAATAGATAGTGGAGCAGAAGTTTCAGTTTTACCTTCAAATAAATTCAAAAACAGTAACAATTTATCCGATATAGTTTTAACAGCGGCAAACGGATCTAATATTTCTACATATGGAAAAAAACTTCTTACTGTTGATTTAGGCTTACGACGAGAATTTCCATTTATTTTTCTCATTGCTAACATTTCGAAACCAATAATTGGTGCAGATTTCCTTAGTAAATATGGTCTTTTAATTGATGTAAAGCACAAGAGGTTATTAGATTCTCTTACGAATTTAAAAGTTAATGCAATATCTTCCAAATGTAATATATCATTGCCTAAATTATTTGCCGTTGATAATAAATACATTCAATTATTAAAAGAGTTTCCTTCATTAACTGCGGAACCAGATTATACTAAACTGGTAAAACATTCAACGGTTCATAGACTGAATACTGAAGGTGTCCTTCCATTTACTAAGCCTCGAAGGTTAGATCCCTTAAAATATAAAGTCGCTAAGACAGAATTTGAATTTTTAGTCAAAGCAGGAATTTGTAGACCATCAAGCTCTTCTGTTTCTTCAGCACTTCATCTTGTCCCAAAGAAAGATCCCAATGACTGGCGACCTTGTGGCGATTTTAGAAGACTTAATGCTGTGACAGTACCGGACCGCTATCCGTTACCACACATTCACGACTTAAATATGAATATGCGAAATAAAAAATTTTTTTCAAAATTAGATTTAATCAGGGCTTATCATCAAATTCCAATGGCAAAGGAAGACATTTACAAAACTGCAATAACCACACCATTTGGAATGTTCGAATTCTTACGAATGCCATTCGGTTTAAGAAATTCAGCCCAAACATTCCAACGCTTTATAAATGAAGTATTTAGTGAATTAGATTTTGTTTTCACTTATATCGATGACGTTCTAATTGCTAGCGAAACCGAAGAGGAACATTACGAACATTTGAGAACGGTATTTCAACGGTTAGAGGAATACGGTTTAAATATAAAACCGGGTAAATGCACTTTCGGAGTAGATAATATAAATTTTTTGAGTCACAATATATCCGAGAAGGGTATTCAACCATCAGAAGAAAAAGTTACAGCTATAAGACAGTTTGAGCGTCCACTATCGGTTAAACAGATGCAGAAATTTGTTGGTATGGTAAATTATTACCACCGTTATATACCCAATTTAGCGCATAAAACCGCGATATTACATGAATTAATGAACGATGCCATTAAGAAAAGGCGTAAAGATTTAGTATGGAATGACAGTGCTATCGATACTTTTGATGAGATTAAAAATAGTTTTGCGTCTCGTGTTCTACTAAACCATTACAATAAATTTGCAAATTTAACATTAACTGTTGACGCTTCAAATATTGCTGTGGGTGGTGTTTTACAACAAGTTTTTAATGGTAAAGTTGAACCTTTGGCATTTTTTTCAAGAAAACTTACGACAGCAGAAACAAAGTATAGTACATTTGATCGCGAATTACTCGCTATATATTTAAATATTAAACACTTTAGATACTTATTAGAAGGTCGAAATTTTGTAGTTTATACAGATCATAAACCTTTAAGTTTTGCTATGAATTCAAAGACTGAAAGAAGTCCAAGGCAAACTAGACATTTAGAATACATTTCCCAATTTACAACAGATATTCGATATATCCGAGGCGAGTCGAACATAGTAGCTGATAGCCTTTCTAGACCTTTCGATGTTGATGTATTAGCGGAAAGTGAGTTAAATTTAAACAAATTACTTCAGGAACAAGAAAACGATTCAGAAATAACAACACTTATAAAAGATAAAAATAACTCTTGTAATTTGAAACTAATACATGTACCACTCATTAATGCAGGAATTTGGTGTGAGTTGTCACACAATAATACTAGACCATACATACCTTTAAACATGAGGAAACTTGTATTTACAAAATTGCATGGTATTTCACACCCAGGCACTCGCTCAACTAAACGGTTGATAACGCGAAAATACTTTTGGCCTGGTATGAGTAAACAAATAAATGAATGGTCAAAAGGATGTATAGATTGCCAGCGATCAAAAATTCACAAACATACGAAATCTCCTGTTGTCACAATACCGATACCAAAAGGACGTTTTGAACATATACATTTAGATATTGTAGGTCCACTGCCTCCATCTAACGGTTATAGATATTTACTTACTTTAATAGATCGCCATACGCGCTGGCCTGAAGCTTACCCGTTAAAAGATATAAATACAAAAACCGTAGTGGATACTATAGTGAGAAACTACATTTCTAGATTCGGCGTACCATTGAAAATAACTACAGATCAAGGAAGTCAATTTACATCACATATGTTTTCGGAATTGTCAAAATTTTTAGGTAGTCAGAACATTACAACTTCTGCATATCATCCTCAAGCTAATGGTATTATCGAACGGTTTCATAGACAAATTAAGGCTACATTAATGGCGAAAAATGACTCTTCAAAATGGTATGATGAACTTCCAATAGCTTTAATGGGATTACGTTCTATTTTTAAGGAAGATTTAAAAGCAACTCCAGCTGAAATGACATACGGACAAAATATTCGTCTACCGGGAGAAATTGTTGTTCATGAAAACCAATTCGATGCTTCTGATACCTTGTTTAAGTTAAAAGAACATTTTAAAAGTGTTAGATCAAATATTACTCATCACACAGATTCAGAATCAGGTTTTTATATTCCTAAAGATTTGCACAGTTGTAAATACGTTTTTCTGCGTATAATAAACAAAAGATCGTTGCAAAAACCATATGAGGGTCCATACAAAGTAATAGAAAAGAATAAGAAATGTTTTAAAATTGAAAAAGATGGAGAAATCATATCTGTACCTATAGATCGTCTGAAACCTGCTATCATAGAAAACAACTTAAATGACACTACTAACTCAACACATAAATCTAAACATGTTACTTTTAATTTATTGGATATTGATATTTTTCGGAGGGGGAATATTGTGGATACTATGTATAATTAATATACTTTGTAAATTATATACTTTAGATATAATTTTATTTTAAGTTTTCTTTGAGTTTTAAATTTATTAATATTTTTCTTGAGAATCAAATAAATTTTAGAATTATATTTTACTTTCAAAAAAGAAACATTAAATTTAAATAAAACTTTATATAATATTTATAATACATTTATTAAAAAAGAATATTAACTACACCCCCATATAAAGCCTCTTTCAGAAAATTAGTTTTTCATCCATAAATTGCTTAAATGTATCGGAACAAGGGAATATTGAAGATAAATGCTTTATTATGAAAAATAAATCACATTTAATATTCATAACTGGTGTAGGGTATCATATGGTCGGCCACGCCCGACTATACTTTCTTACTTGTTTTCTTTAAAATCTTTTATAGAGTTTTACAAAAAATCGATCATATGTTATTGAATTGTAACATTAAGATACACGCCTGTAAGAGTTACCAACAACCACATGATTATCGAACTGCTAACAAACTACTACCCAGTAGTAAAACTGATTTCCCACATACTGCAAAGAGCAGTTCGTATAAATCGTACAATAATACAATGATTTTTCATTTAAACAATGATTGTCTAATATATATTTGTAAAAAATTGGAACTAGAAGATCAAATTAATTTTGCTCTTTCATGTCAACGTTTTGCCGAAATTTTGAAAGTTATTTTAAGAGTATATAAAGAATTAGTCATCAAAGTGCCTTGCACTAATGATAAAGTAGAATTTTTCTTTCAATCTATGCGACCTCAAGTTAGACAATTATGGGTAAAAAACGTAGAGTTATTAAATATGATGTTATTTTGTACAAGTGTTGAAAGCCTCATTATTGTCAACTGTGAAGCTGAGGAACTTACTTATCCAGTATATCATTTAATTGATAAAATGATATACTTAAAGGAATTGAAATTTGTCTATGTGGAGATAAGTGATATTTTAATGGAAAAAATTAGTACATTTAATAAAATAAAATTTTTAAATGTAATAGATTGTTTTGTAACGGGTGAGTGCCAAATAACATGGACCTACATACATGCATACATACATGCATACATGCATACATACATACATACATACATACATACATACATACATACATACATACATACATACATACATACATACATACATACATACATACATACATACATACATACATACATACATACATACATACATACATACATACATACATACATACATACATACATACATACATACATACATACATACATACATACATACATACATACATACATACATACATACATACATACATACATACATACATACATACATACATACATACATACATACATACATACATACATACATACATACATACATACATACATACATACATACATACATACATACATACATACATACATACATACATACATACATACATACATACATACATACATACATACATACATACATACATACATACATACATACATACATACATACATACATACATACATACATACATACATACATACATACATACATACATACATACATACATACATACATACATACATACATACATACATACATACATACATACATACATACATACATACATACATACATACATACATACATACATACATACATACATACATACATACATACATACATACATACATACATACATACATACATACATACATACATACATACATACATACATACATACATACATACATACATACATACATACATACATACATACATACATACATACATACATACATACATACATACATACATACATACATACATACATACATACATACATACATACATACATACATACATACATACATACATACATACATACATACATACATACATACATACATACATACATACATACATACATACATACATACATACATACATACATACATACATACATACATACATACATACATACATACATACATACATACATACATACATACATACATACATACATACATAGGGATAGGTTAAAAATAAAGACAAATAAATCTGTAATTTCTAAATGAATAGTCTGAATGAATTGTAATTTCACTATAGACTAGACAATACACTAGAGAATAGACTAGATTACAGACTAGACTATATACTAGACTATAGACTAGACAACAGACTAGACAATAGACTAGACTACACACTAGACTATAGACTAGACTATAGACTAGACTATAGACTAGACTATAGACTAGACTATAGACTAGACTATAGACTAGACTATAGACTAGACTATAGACTAGACTATAGACTAGACTATAGACTAGACTATAGACTAGACTATAGACTAGACTAGACTATAGACTAGACTATAGACTAGACTATAGACTAGACTATAGACTAGACTATAGACTAGACTATAGACTAGACCATAGACTAGACTATAGACTAGACTGTAGATAATAGACTAAACAGTAGATATGCAGTACTTATCAAAAGGGAAAATCTTAATAACTCAAACAAATTGTATTTAATATTTTTTATATTTTTGGAAAGGCTATTTTATATACACACATTAATTTACAGATTTGTTTTTCTTTACTTTTTGATCAATCCTACTATGGGCTGTGGGAACAAAGGCACATACATATCTCCAGATTTAAAGTTTTCGAAATACGTAAAGAAATCTGTATTTCTTATTAGTATAGAAATATTGAATGAAAATACTGAACTAGAACTGAACTAGAACTAACCTGAACTAGAACTGAACTAGAACTGAACAAGAACTGAACTAGAACTGAACTAGAACTGAACTAGAACTGAACTAGAACTGAACTAGAACTGAACTAGAACTGAACTAGAACTGAACTAGAACTGAACTAGAACTAGAACTGAACTAGAACTGAACTAGAACTGAACTAGAATTGAACTAGAACTGAACTAGAACTGAACTAGAACTGAACTAGAACTGAACTAGAACTGAACTAGAACTGAACTAGAACTGAACTAGAACTGAACTAGAACTGAACTAGAACTGAACTAGAACTGAACTAGAACTGAACTAGAACTGAACTAGAACTGAACTTGAACTGAACTAGAACTGAACTAGAACTGAACTAGAACTGAACTAGAACTGAACTAGAACTGAACTAGAACTGAACTAGAACTGAACTAGAACTGAACTAGAACTGAACTAGAACTGAACTAGAACTGAACTAGAACTGAACTAGAACTGAGCTAGAACTGAAGAACTGAACTAGAACTGAACTAGAACTGAACTAGAACTGAACTAGAATTGAACTAGAACTGAGCTAGAACTGAACTAGAACTGAACAAGAACTGAACTAGAACTGAACTAGAACTGAACTAGAACTGAGCTAGAACTGAACTAGAACTGAACTAGAACTGAACTAGAACTGAACTAGAACTGAACTAGAACTGAACTAGAACTGAACTAGAACTGAACTAGAAGTAGAACTGAAGTAGAACTAAACTAGAACTGAACTAGAACTGAACTAGAACTGAAGTAGAACAGAACTAGAACTGAATTAGAACTGAACTAGAACTGAACTAGAACTGAACTAGAACTGAACTAGAACTGAATTAGAACTGAAGTAGAACTGAACTAGAACTGAAGTAGAACTTCACTTGAACCGAACTAGAACAGAACTGAACCAGAACTGAACTAGAACTGAACTACAACTGAACTAGAACTTAACTTAATTTCATTTCTGCAAATCAGGTAAAAATCTTCATATTACTGGTCTCGAAGGATTGAATTTGGAAAAATGCTGTCAGGTAGAAAATCAGTATTTTACAATAATATGTCAAAATCATACAAATTTAAATTACCTCGATATAAGAGATGCTGAGTTAATGAAACCGGAAATTTCAGAGCAAATTTCGCAACATTTAAAGCAATTGAAAACTCTAAAAATAACAAACTACGAGCAAAATTTCAACAGCATCGCACAATTGCCAAATCTAACGCATTTGGAAATTAAAGGTATTTATAGAGCTTATCTACCGAAAGAATTTTTTAATGAATTGGTAAAACATAAAGCCGACAAATTGGAAGTATTAAGGTTGAGTGGTATAAAAAGAGAAACTATATCTTCAGAAATAATTTCATTAATTGCTGAATTGAAAAAGTTAAAAGTTCTATACTTCAGTTGTCATTCCACATTTGACAATAAGGATTTAGAGAAATTGTCACAACTTACCGAATTAGAAGTTATTAGTTTAGACAATTGTGATACTAAAACCGACAAGGACATATTAAAACTTTTAAGAAATTGTCTAAAATTAAAATACATAGAATTATATAGTTTTCGTGTACCTCGTGCTGTTATTCGCAGTGCTGCGAAATTGGTAAAAGAACAACTTGACGCTTCGCTTCGTACAGTTCCTGTAAAACTATTTTACACATATATGATAGATTTTAAATTTTGGAATAAGGTAAGTAAAAATAGTTATATTATACATCTGGGTCTCACATGACTAGAGAGCAAATGTTATTGAATCTGAGATAAGAATTAAGAAATTTTAACTTTATTGTATGTTTTTTTTCAATTTGTTTTTGTTTTTCTATTTTAGACTATTATATTAGGAGCATCTGATTCGAATGGTAAGTTACAATATATTAAAATGTTGTTTTCATTCCATCATAAACTAAGCTAAAATCAGAATTATAGACCAGTCTATTTCGAGCATTCTATTGACAAGAATATGAATACGATTAGTCTATGGATTAGCTGCTTGAATAGTTAAGAGACTAGTCAATGGAGCCATAGACCAGGCATGGCAAATTTTTATTTTGAAATAGTACTAACTTATAACAAAAATAGTACGTTTGAGGTTTTAATATTCCACTAGTCTATAGACTTGACTAGACTATAGATAAGACTATTGACATCACTATAGACAAGACTATAGAATGAACTAAACTTTCAAGCAATCATATTTCTCATGGATTTTATCAAAACTTAATAAATTAACAAAAATGTACTTTTTTTTATAGATGATGATAACGATTCATCAGAATCAATTTAAAGGTTCAAAACAAGATCCAAAACATTTCGGGGAAACATTTCCAAATAAAACAGAAAACTTATGGGCATTTCTATAAGAAGGATAATGGAATAATTATTTCAAACCTATGGATCTACTTCAAATTTATAAATAATAATTTAAAATTGTTAATTAAGTAAAATTTTTAATAAATGAAAATGAAAACATTAATTATATTTGTAATATTTTGAAGTAAACTGCGAGGACTTAGCACTTTTCTTCGTATTTATACCCTATAACAACATATTGGAGAGGATATTATGTGTTTGTGCTGCTGTTTGTAATGTACAAAAGTATTGCTCCTACAATCACCTTAAAGTATAATATACTAGGACATTTAGGGCGGGTAACATAATCAACAAAAACAATAAAATAATCAATTCGGAAGAAGAAAAACTTAATTTTGTAAATAAATAATATTTTTCTGATTTGTTTTATCAATATTATTATTGTTTTAAGTGTTTATTTTAATTTTTTCTAAATTTTTTTTTCATTTTACAAAAGTAATATTTGCAAACAACAGCAGCTGTTCATTGTTTATGTTTTTGGCTGAAAAGTTGGCAATACTAACAAAGTTAACTACTCTCAAATTCATAACTGAAAAACACAATCATCAGTTAAAGTTCGCTTAAATTTGTTTCGAGTTTCATTTAACAGCAAGTTAAATCAAGTTTAACTAAGCAGTAAGAAACCCGCCCTATGTTTTATATAAACATAAATGACTCTGCTGACTTTCTTATCTTCTTCTTCTATATATGTATATAAAAGTTAATGTTTGTTTGTTTGTATGTATGCATCAGAGAACTGCAATAGGTGATTGAAAAATATTCAAACCCTAAAAATTATTGTATTTTTGTGTATTTTGCAAAAATAACTCCATATTGCTTAAAATTGCCAATAATTTGGGTAATATTGAAGTCTATATTTGTGCTGCATCGATAATGTATACAAATCTTTACAAATTTGCTCTAAAACTTAATATTGGTCATTTGACATGTTTTAAAAGTAGTTTTTTTCATGTCCATATATGTATCTTAAATTCACATTAATCAGTTCAATCATAACCTTCTAATTGATGTTTTAATTATTTTGAACTAGCATTAGTGGGTGTGGCACATCGCACTGGTATATTGCTAGCCAATATCAAATGACGTAAATTTGGAAAACTATAACAGCTACAGTTCCCAAATTTTGTACGATAAACTTTTAGTGTCAATATAAACATTTTATGCAACAATGGTCGGATAAGAAATAGTAGGCGTGTCATCCGCCATATAAAGTTATTACCAAAATTCGTATATCTGGGAAACTATAAAATTTGGAGTGATCAAATTTCGTTCAACCCACTTTGATATCAATATGAATATTTAAGGCGGATTAGAAAAAGGGGGCATGGCAGTTCCTAAATAAATTAAATACAAACATAAGTATATCGGAGAAACTATTAGAGCTAGAATGCTCAAATTTTGCACGAACAATTTTGATATCCATGTTAGTATTTCGTATATCTGGAAACCATTATAGCTAGAATCCTATAATCCATGTGAACAATTTGCGGAAAATAATCAGACTAGCAATAGAGACATGATACCAACCATAAGAACTAAATTTTTTGTTTACTATGGCATTGAAATGTTAACAAAACAATTGTTTTTTTTTTTTTTCGATGAAATTAATATCAGATTCACCATTTGCCAACTAGAGAAATGGCATTGGAAAAATCGTAAAGGGTTTTTTATTTATATTGTTTCTAGGGTAGCGAAGCACACTGGGTAAAGCTAGTAATCTTATAAATGAAATTCCAATTGTCGGAATTTTGTTAAAAATTGGCAAAAAGTCTCGTAAAATATCAAAACAAGGTAAAAGCACGAAACCGAATTCAACAACATCTTTTTTTTCTAAGAATAAATATGAAAAGCTTTTAGAAAAAAATGTTTTAAAATTAAAAATAGAACTGAACAAGTAAGAGTTCTATATTCGGTTGTGCCGAATCTTATATACCTTCACCATAGTGTGTTTAAAATAACAGTGAATATGTATTTTATTACAAAAAATCTGCGTGTTGTAATTCCATTTCGAAACATACATATGTTTCTAAGGTTGGGTTTTTCTGATAAAGATAATCTACATTCTTTGTTTAAACTTTAAAGTATTTCAGTAATCAGTTAATTTGTTTATTATCATGGTTTAACCGACTATTATTGGCCAGTTAAAACTAAGTTATAATGACGCGGTATTAGAAAAACTTGATTTTTATACCCTTCACCTTCGTGAGAAGGTCATTCCGTTTGTAATTTCTATAATATAATTTTCCGACCCTATAAAGTATATACATATATGTATATATATTCCGGATCCTTATAGACAGCGGAGTCGATTTAGCCTTGTCCGTCTGTCTGTCCGTCTGGGTGTCTGTTGAAATCAATTTTCTGTAGACCATAGATATCTTCGGGATCCAAATCTTTAATAATTCTATCAGACATATGAGTAAAAATCGAAGACAACCTCTAGAAATGTAAACAAAAATTTAGATTTTTCGTGCATGCTGAGACAGAAATAATAAATAATTTTGTTATTGTAATTATGCGAAAACCTATTTATAGGGGACTTTCTGGTACTTGTTCGTTCTCCAAAAGGCACTTTTTTATAATTTTGAATCTAGAAACATGAAATTAAGCATGTAGAGCCCCGAATAAGTGAGAACATAAAAATGGGTTTTTTTTTTGGTACTTTTTCGTTTTTCAAAAGATACTTTTCGAATTTTCTATAATATTGAACCTAGAAACATAAAATTAAGCATGTAGAGCCCCGAATAAGTGAGAACATATAAAAGGGGACACTTTGGTACTTTTTCGTTCTTCAATAGGTACTTTTTGATTTTTTTATAATATTGAACCTAGAAACATTAAATTAAGCATGTAGTTCCCCGAATAAGTGACAACATATAAAAGGGGACTTTTTGGTTCTTCAAAAGGTACTTTTTGAAATTTCTACAATATTGAATCTAGAAACATCTGGGTCCTTTTGAAATTCTGAGTCGATTTAGCTATGTCCGTCTGTCCGTCCGTCCGTCTGTCTGTCTGTGTAAAACACGCTCACGTTAAAACGAAGCAATATAATTTAACCAAATTCACCCAAAATATTCATTATTATCCGGTACAGTTTGGTATTGAAAATGAGCAAAATCGGTTCACATCGGGAAAAGTTATGAATCAAAATTTAAAACAACCTCGAAAAAAATAAGCATTTTTTACACATTCTAATGTAATTTTCTCCAAAACTATGCAAGATAATTCCATGAAAATCACCATACATTCGTTTCTACACAAGATCTTGATCGGTCCACAATTTCATATACCTCCCATACAAAAGTACATATTCCCGGAAAATGGGTTTTTCGTTAATAACTTCCATCACAATGTCGATATCTTCACAAAATTTTTACAAATTAAAATCAATATGTCAATAGAATTCTTTCAGAGAAAAATTTTCTGGATCGGTCCATAATTGGACATAGCTCCCATACAAGGTCCCCTCCCGAAAATCACTTAAACGCGCATAACTCATTACTAAATTAAGATATCCATATAAAATTTGGTATAAGTATTGCCCATATGCACAGAAATATTACTGTTAAAGTTTTTTCCGATCGGTCCATAATTGGTCATAGCTCCCATACAAGGTACCCTCCCGAAAATCACTTAAACGCGCATAACTCATTACTAAATTAAGACATCCATATAAAATTTGGTATAAGTATTGCCCATATGCATAGAAATATTACTGTGAAAGTTTTTTCCGATCGGTCCAAAATTGGTCATAGCTCCCATACAAGGTCCCATCCCGAAAATCACTTAAACGCGCATAAATCATTACTTAATTAAGATATCCATATAAAATTTGGTATGAAAATTGCCCACATGCATAGAAATATTACTGTGAAAATGTTTTTGGATCGGTTCAAAATTGGTCATAGCTCCCATACAAGGTCCCCTCCCGAAAATCACTTAAACGCGCATACCTCATTACTAAATTAAGATATCCATACAAAATTTGGTATAAGTATTGCCCATATGCATAGAAATATTACTGTGAAAGTTTTTTCCGATCGGTCCATATTTGGTCATAGCTCCCATACAAGGTCCCCTCCCGAAAATCACTTCACACTAATTAAGAAATCCATATAAAATTTGGTACAAGTATTGCACATATGCGCGGAAATATTACTGTGAAATTTTTTTCCGATCGGTCGATAATTGGTCATAGCACCCATACAAGGTCCCCTCCCGAAAATCACCTAAACGCTCATAACTCATTACTAACTATAAAGTTTGGCAGAAGTTTTGCTCTTATACAGAGAAATATTGTTTTCCTATTCGTCCATAATTGATCATAGCTGCTATACAAGGTGCCTTTCAGAAAACACTTAAAGGCACATAACTCATTAGGAAATAGTGATACCCATAAAATATTTGGCATTAATACTATTTTTGTACACATAAATGTTATTTCAAAATTTTTTCACGATTAGTCCAACCTTGGTCATAGCTCCCATATAAGGTTCCCTCCCTAAAATCACTTAAACGCACATAATTCATTACCAAATATTGATATCATACATTTAGCAAAATTATTGCTCTTATATACATAAATTACACTATAAAATTGTTTTACGATCGGTCCATATTTAGTGATAGATCTCATACTAGGTCCCCTCCAGAAAATCACTTAAATGCACAATATTCATTACCAAATAATGATATAGATACAGAATTTTGAAATTTTGTTTTTATATATAATTCGTCATAGCTCTCATACAAGGTCCTTTTACGAAAATCTCTTAAACGCACATTACTCATTACCAAATAAAGCTATTGATACAAAATTTGCCACAAATATTAGTTTTGTATACAAAAATTCTATTTCAAGATTTCTCACGATCGGCTCATAACATGGGTGCGGTCGGTCCCATACAAGGTTCCCTTCCGAAAATCACAATCAACACACATTACTTATTACTAAATTACGATATAGATATCAAATTTTACTGAAATATAGCTTTTATGTACAGAAATTTAGCTTAAAGAATTTTTTACGATCGGACTATAATTGGTCATATCTAGGTCCTGCCCCTGAAAGCACTTTAACCGTATTTAACTAGTTGCATTATC